CCTGGGCAAAGCCTGTAAAACTCTGAGTTCTAGTAAAGCTTCAGGTTAAAGACACTCCTTATATGGGTCACATGGTGCCAGGAGGGGCACTCAACAGTCGTCCTGATTTCTTTTAGGACAGAGTTGAGTCATGGATGAGATCCTTTAGTCTTTGAAGTTCAGGGAAATGTCCTCTTCCTTCCTCTCTTTTTTGACATGATTGTCTCTGATGCACCCAAGCGTTGCCTTCCCTGTGTTATTCATACATTTGTTTAACAGTGTATGAATGTTTAACAAACATTGAGTGTCTCTTAAATGCCAGGCACTGTACCACATTCTGAGGATTCCAGACAAAAGCACTAGTTGCTACCCAGGTGCTCACAGCTGGGCAGGGCAGATACCAGAAAAGTCAATCATTAAATAGCTTACAGGGGGAATCAGGGAAGAGTTAACTCCAGCCCAAACAGGGAGGAGGGGACATTTGGCATGTAGTTAAGGGAGAATCCATAAATGAGAACATTTTTGAGCTGAGTCTTGCAAGAAAGTAGGAATTTGTCAGGAGGACTAGCAGGGCTAGAATAATCAAGATCTTAAAGTTGAAAGTGAGAGTCAAAGTTTTAAGATCTTTGATATTCTTTAAGTTCTAAAAATAGATGTTTAAAAATCATAGGAGATGTGTGGTTCTTCAGAAGTTCTTTGATAAACTTTTGAGATTAGTTTGGATTTTAGACAAAATGTTATTTTTAATCATTAAAACAGATTAATTTGCTTATTATCAAATAGACCCCCATTTTGTTCTCCAGCACTCATCTAGAAACTAGAAGTCTGAATAGCTCTTGCTTCAATTGGCAAGATTCCTGTTCCCAAATGTTTTGAGAACACATTATAGAAAGTTGAGTCAACCCAATTGCACGCAGCCTGCAAAGCTTCAAATTCCTAGCTTGCATCCTAAATCTTATAAAACTACTACAGTTACAGTGTCAACTAAGAAACAGGTAAGTAGCTATTTGACTTTAGATTGACTGTGTTTACAAGCAAATGCATAGATGAAGCAATTAAACAGATACAGCATCATACAGTGCAAAGCTCTCAGATTATTTCCATAAACAACTAGAAGCTTAATGGTCATGCTTCTCGAGATACAAATGGTCTCCTAATCCTTGTACTGAGAATGTCATCTTTTCTTTCTATAAAGCTTTAAGCAATGATTGTGAATATTCTGCTTATAACCAGTGCCACTGGTCTTAGCTCGTTTTCCCGCTATTTGTGTTTGACAGCTCCATTACTGGCACCACTAATTTGTCAAATCTGAAATCTTTTTGCAGCTAGGCACAGAATGCTTTCTATTCAACGACTTGAGCTCCCATAAAAAATAAGCATGAAACTGAAGAACCAATGTGCAGAGGATCTATCGCTAATTTCAAAAACCTATGATCTCAAATCCACCAAATGCTATTTGTGTGAACTTGGGGTAGGTGCTTAACTTCTTTGTGCCTCAGCTTCCTTCTGGGTAAACTTGGAGTGATAATTTTTCACAAGGTTCTTGCAGGGCTTAAATGTGATAAATCGTAGTATGTGTACCTTAGCACAGCACTGCCCTGTGGAAGGTGCTAGATAATACCTATTCACTTTGGTTTCTGATAGAATATTTTTAAACCAATAATTTAAAGTCACTGAATAAAACATAATGCTTAGGATTTAATAAAAATATCATTCCTTTATGCTTACATTCATTAGTAACATGTCATAACTAATGCTTTTTATACAAGAGTAAAAAGCATCATTTCAAAATAAAGAGAGTCAAACATGATACCTGAGGGAAATGGAAAAAGTGCAATATTGTATGAATTGGAAAATTATAAGTTTTTAGTTCTGAGTTAATGAAAATAAAAAAGACTGTCATATGTGGTTATTTTAATTGGAGTCTATATGAACGTGTTTAAAATAGTCCAATTTTCAGAAACAATTCCTCAGCATCCAATTAACATTTGGATCAAAGTACATTCCCCCACCACACACAATCTGAAGCAATAAAATCAACCTACTTTTGAAGTTCACAAATAATTTGTTCAATGACTTCCACTCTTAAAAAGAGACTTGCTTAAGCCCATATCTAAAAGTAAGTTAACCGTAAATGTCTTAGGAACCAAAACAAAGAGAGACAAAGTTAATAGTATCTTAACTCATTAAATTGCTCCTTTCATATAATACAATACTTCCAACTCACTAATTAGTGAAATTCCAAGATTCTGGGAATGGATAAAAATGTTCACAGTGAAATTCAGTTTCTTTATGAAAATTATTTGAGTTATCATGCACCACAGAATAATTGAAGAACTTTAGAAACTGACATTCAATTGGCTGTACCAAGAGCTCACAAATACCCAGCAATGACCCCAACTTTCCTCTAACCTGAGGGTGAATTGCCCATGATGTGAGATAAGAAATCTGCCACTGAAAGCAAAACAAATAATCACACAGTACCCCTAATTTTTGTCTATAAAACTAATTTTCCAGAGAGTTGACTTTTAAAGCCAGTAAACAATAAAAGATGCCTGCTAATTTACTCTCATCTCACTGTTTTTAAAACCTAAGCATGAACAGCTTCTCTCCCAGGTTACGCTACTTGTAATTAGTCATAAATATTTTCAAGACAGATAATCTCACAAGAAACCCCTGGAGATGGCTTTAAATATAGTAAAGGAGACCAAGAAGAAAAAGTTTTTTATTCACATTTTTCTTCAACCTGATTTGCTAAATGAAGGAAATTATTTTGATTTTCAAGGCCCCTAGCCACAATCACAAATTAGTTTGGTCAATCACAGTAAAATGAGATGAAATTTCTTTTTTTTTTTTTTTTAATTCTGAAAGTAAGTTCAAGGGGAGTAGGGAAGATCTGGAGAAATGACATCTTAAGCAAAAAGGTGTTTTAGCTCCTGTAAGGACCTCATGACACATAATGTAGGGAAGTGAAAACTAGAAGACACATTTTCTGCATACTTTTAAAAATGCTTCAGTACCGACAATCCTCACTGATTTAAATTATTAAAGTACATGATTGAATAAACCTCCTAGACAACAAATTTGTCCTGGTGGGACACCTCACATGATATTGTAGAAAATTCTCGCCAGGCACAGTGGCTCACGCTTGTAGTCCCAACACTTTGGGAGGCCAAGGCAGGTGGATAACTTGAGCTCAGGAGTTTGAGACCAAACAGGGAAAAATGGCAAAATCCCATCTCTACTAAAAATACAAAAATTAGCCCCACAAGGTGGCACACACCTGTAATCCCAGCTACTCAGGAGGCTGAGGCATGAGAATTGCTTCAACCCAGGAGGCAAAGGTTACAGTGAGCCGAGATCGCTACTCACTCCGCCCTGGGTGATAGAGTGAGGCTCTGTCTCAA